CCCCCGCCCGCTGGCCCGTTATTTGAAGGTGAGCGTATCTGCGAGGCGGGACAGGAGGCCCCGCGGCTCTGGCCTCCTGGCCCCCCCCTCGCCTCCGGGCCCCTCCTCCCCGTTTTTGCGGGTCAGCTCCAGCTCGATGGTCATCAGCACCCGGCCCGGGCCCTCCTCCTCCCCCCCGCCTCCCCCCGCCCTCTCGGCCTTTTTGACTACGGTTGCCTGGCGCTGCTGCGGCTTCTGCTGCCTGGGGGGGGCCGCCCCCAACGCCACGGCCGCCGCGGCCTGCCGCACGGGCTGGAGCAGCCGGCTGACCAGCCCGCCCCAGCCCCTCCCCGTATCCTATTTCTTATCCTTGCGAGACTCCTGCTTCTTCTTTTCCGAGGCGGCCGCCTTCACCTTGGAGGGATCGGCGGGAGGCGCGGGGCCCTGTGGGGGGAGGAGGGAGAGGGGGTCAGGGGGGAGAACAGGGGAGGAGAGTCACTTCAGGAGGAAAGGACCGTAAGGGGGAGAGAGAGAGGGGGAGGAGGGGGGGGGGGGGGGGAGGGGGGGGGGGGGGGGGGGGGGGGGGGGGGGGGGGGGGGGGGGGGGGCGTTAGCGGTGAGAACAGGAGGAGATACGGGGATGGGGAGAGCTGTGTGAAGAGGAGAGAAGATCACATTTAGATGGAGGAAGAAGAGGGAGTCAGACAGGTGGAGAGGAGGAGGCGTGTGAGGAGGTGGACACACGGTCCTTTTAGGGGAGGGGGTAGCAAGTGAGGGGGGGCGGTGTCCAGAGCTGTAAGGGGGGGACAAAACAGGTAACCGTGCGTTAGGATGGGACACAGTGGCAGGAAGGCTCCACAAACCTGCGACAACTGAGTGGCAATTGATCAATAACATGCAGCCAGAGCGGGTTTTCACCCATCAACAGTCACACGGCTTCTGGACGGAACCCAGAAGCGGAGAAAATGAAATAAGAATGAATATTTACTGGCAGCACAGATGGATTCTGCTGATTGCAACGCGACATAACGTGCCGCTTCCTTCTCCCTCCTGGCTGATTGGCCTGATTGGGCGGATTTTCTTCAGGTTAAAGGCTGATAGATGGATTATTTCGTCTTTTTTTTTTTTCTGAAGCTGCCAGCTCTATTTGAAACATGTTAGACACCCCAGATGGTTATTTGTGACAAACCATCTGCTTTGTCTGATTGAAAAAGAATCAGAAGTCTGCAGTGCGAATGACTTTCCAAGCAAATGTTTGCAAATATCTCCTACTGGTTGCTGTTGGTTTACTGTTATTTCAGCCTGTAAGTCTGCTCTGAAACCCTGTGAACAGTTGGAAACTGTTTCAATTTAAAGCTTATTTTTCCCCTCATGCTTATTACCAGGACAACAATAAAGCCACAGGTATTCTAATAAAGCTCTCTTTTAAATGTTGTACATTCGTAACTATCAAATTATAGTTACTACTAAAAACCTTTTCGTTACTCTGTAATAAAAACATCCACATCGCAGTTGACAACATCAGAAAAACATATTTGGTTCCACTCTAGCATCTAGATTTTGAACTCAATCGCAAAACTGGTCTGCCAATAAACTGGTAATCCATATTTATTCTGACACACTCATTTAGATTTCCCCAGCATCTGAGCTGGTTTATCTACCAGCACGTGATTGGATGTTTTCCCAGTGGAACTGGGCTGTGCTACGACCGTCCACTTTGGAGTGAGTGGGCCATTTTGCAGCAACATTTCATCCACTATTTATGGCGCTGCACGCCCCTCAGCTGGACCAAATAGTCCATCATTCTTTGTGAGCTGGAGCTGGCATTTAACAAGCTCATGTGGAAAGCTAACGCGAAAACATTAGCCGCTAGTATTCTTTGTCTTTGTTGTCGAACACAACAACTTAAAAAGTTAAAATCACAAAGAGGCTCGTTCTCTTCGGATATGCACAGGAACCGCGTGCAAAACAGAAGTAAGGCAACTGAGTTCAGAAAAAATCTCCAACATTAGAAACAAAATGGAGAGAAACAGATTTAGTTTTGACATCCTCCTTTTTTCCCCGTGGGTCATATTGGTTTAGATTTTGTGGACTGAAGGTTATTTAACTGCAGTTAAAGCAGAAAAGCTCATTGGGCGCTCACAGGTTTCCGTCAGTTTAATGTTGAGTGGGGAGACATCAGTTTCAATATGTTCTCAGCCAGAAACAACCCGTGCTGTCTGTCACCTCGGACCTGCTGCGCCCCCCCCTGTGTACAATTATGAAGCACTGGAGCAGTCAGGAACTGCCCAGAATGCATCGGCATCTGGCTTGCCCTAATCCCCCCATAAGTCAGTCCTGTATGGAGCCGAAACACTGCCATGTGGGGGGGTGAATTAATGACCCCAGTGGAACTACGATGTGTTGACAAACTGGTTTCTGATCATAACAATGCAGCTGTGCACATGAGCAGGACTTACATTCAATATAAATGCACTTGATTAAGCCATAATAACTGGAAAAAACTGCACACAAACACAATAACTGCTCTGTCACATTTAAATAGATGTTTGTGCAGAAGTGCATTGAGTACCTGAGCCACTTAAACCTGAATCTACATACCTCCATAACCCCTGTAAAATGTTCAGAAAATCTAAAATTTTGACAGAGAGATGTTCCAAACTTTGAAAAAAAAATGGCAGCAACATGCCTCAAAGAAGTTGTGACAGGGTGCAAAAAAAAGCCTGGAAAAGTGTGTGATAGTAAAAGACACAGCTGGAAGATTAGCTCACCACTTATGAGTTTAGCTGTCAGCAGGTGAGCAACATGCTTTGAAGAGTCTCTCAGAGGAAAAGATGGGTGGAGGCTGAGGAATCTAATGTGACTGGATTGAATTGCACTGTGCCGCACGATGACTTGAAATTGAATTAATAGGATATACATACACCTGACGCGAGTGCACAGGCAAAAAAATAAATAATTAGATTGTGTTCGTTGGCGTGAAGTCTCAGCTGAGATCTCTATAAAACGAGGAGCAGGAGCACAGCATTAAAACAGACCTGGTTCTGGCCTGATCATCTCATCCCTCACACAGCAAAGACACCGTCAACAAAAAGCTCCGGCTTCTCTGGGCCGAAGTTCATTCGAAATTAACTGAGGCAAAGTGGGGAACGAGCTGGAATCCTGTATCTAACAAGAGCAGGACTCTCCTCTAAAGGCTATTGTTGAAAGAAGAGGAGCTCTCCCCATTTTCAGAGGCGTTAGCGTCATCAAAGCTAAGATGAAGTCAAAGTTCGTTATGTCTGACTTTCAACATTTGGCCTGTTTTGTTGTAGTAAAACAGTTTGACGGTTTTACTACACGGTTTGTTTTTGTTTTTTCTAATACAATTTTAATCAACTTTTGGGAAATCGACTCTTCTAAACCTTTAAATAGTCTTGCGTTGTTTACTTTTCAAAGGTCATTATAGTCCGCAAATATGATATAAACCTCTACATACCCTGTGATTCTTCCACTCTCTCACTCCTTCGGTAATCCGTGCAATGTGAAAGCAGTGTCGGAAAATATCTATAGGAAAAAAAATCTATAAAAGGAAGAGCCACATGGAAGAAAACTCTAGCAATGCTTTGCTCGGGCACAACAAATCCATGAGGAAGGGCTAAGCTGAGAGCAGATAAGGTCAAGGCAACACTTAACCTTACAATAGCTGCATTCCAGTGCATTAACCTGTGAGTTAACCTATTGAAAAGCACCACAAGTGCACAATAATGCTCCACTGGAGCTTAATGAAACTTCACTCATATGCAAAAAGTTTCACCATGTTGTGCTTTTTTTCTGTTCCTTTTTTCGTTGCTGCAGCCTCTCCAGAGGTGGCCCCACAGGCCGGAGCATAATGACTGAGGGGAGGCGAGGCGTGCTGGATCTACGCTGGGAGACTGAGGCGATTTGCTCCAGTACAGCAGGTTAGTCAACAGTGGAAAGCCCACTGGAGACTGCTTCTACCCACCCAAGCTTCAACTCCTAATACCCTTCTGATTGCATTAGAAAATTAATCATTTTTAATCATGCGGCGTGCAGAAGCGGCGGAGACGCGTGCTGTTTGGGGGCGGGGCCACGCGGCCCTCCGCCCCCGTTATCCTCCGTTATACTTACATTCCCTCGTACATCACAGCATTGTTTACCATAATGGATCCCGGGAAGGGGCTGGACTTTGTGCTGCAGTGTTTTGCGGGACTCCCACGCTAACGGCAGGTCTGCTTCACAAACACCTCCCAGCCTGCTTAGGCAGAATAAAGAACCCCCCCACCACCACCCCCACCCCTACCCACACACCCCCCATAACAGGGGCTGCACACACTTCAAAGGAAACGTGGGTACAGTGGAGGGAAGGGAGGGGACTGGCAGAGAGGTAGACAGGTAGGCGAGTGCTTTGGCTCCCCCGTGCATACTAAAGAGAGAGACGGGGACAGCTGAAGGGGGGGAGATTGAGAGGTAGATGAAGAGTGAGAGGTAGTGATTTTCTGTCCAGAATCGGAGCTGATCAGAGCCCAGAAGACCTGAGGAAGACGAGGAGGAGGAGGAGGAGGAGGAGGAGGGAAACTGGAGACGTGGGTGGCGGATCAACAGAAGGAAGGAGGGAGTAAATAGGGTGGAGAAAAAGGAGGGAGTTAACCTACAGACAGAGGGGTGCCTCTCGTGGTCAGCGAGGAAGCCGGAGGCAGGGAGAGGAGGGAGACGTGGAGGAAGATGAGGAAGAGGAGGAGGAGGATGCGACCGAGGAGAGGGAGACAGGGGACCGGATAAAAGGAATCTGAATGAGGGAGAGGGCACGGGTGGGAGTGAACTGAAGTGGGAGGCAATTGGGGGAAGGAGAGAAGAATGGGTGGGTTGTGTGCGTTTGCGAGCTCCGATCGATACAGAGTGCACTCAATTATCATTCCAGCGCAGAGAGAGCGAGCGGGCGAGCGAGAGCGTGCATGTGCTGGGTCCTGTGAGGGCTGGGGGGGGGGGGGTTGGGGTCTTTTTCCACAACTCCACCTAATGGGGAGTAGCACACACCACAGGGCTCCCCCCCTTCCCTCCAACCTTTTTGGGGATTTTTAGCAGCAAGCCCAGCAAACGGAGAGAGAGACTAAGAGCCAGAATTGTGTGGTGTCAGCAGAGCGTCCTAATAAGGGCCATTTGATCAAACAACCGCCTCCCAAATCCCAGCGCTCCCTCTGTGTGCGGCGCGGCTTCGGGAGAGGAATCACTTTGGGGGGAGATAAATAAATAAGAGTGCGGAATAAAGCGGCGCGAGCCGAGTCGCTGGAGCTGCTTTTGGCTCCAGATTTCTCATCTCGAGCGCAGAGTCGCAGCAGAGTAACTGTAAATGACAGCGTTGTCAAATATTTCAGTGTCCTTTTGGCGGCGGGTGATTTATTCATATATGCACTGTCACACGCCGCCGGCACTTGAGAGCAACTGACTGCAGCTCAAGAATAACCTGACAATCATCATACGACAGTGGAGAGGAAAGAAGAAGACGGAGGGCGGGAGAAGAGGGGCTCCTGGGGAGGGGGGAAGGGGGGGGGGGGGGGGGGGCGCACTTGTGTGAGGCTGGAGGAGAGAGTCGGTCCGAGCTGGTGCAAAATGGCGTGCTGGTACAGAGCGTGTGGCGTGCGTCTCGGTGGCCCGTTCGGTTTCCCTCTTCAGATCGCTCCTCGCGTGCCTCCGTTCAAGGCTGAGTTTGGACTCAAGAAAACGCCTCAAATCCCTCGACTTCCTTGTTTTTTCTCATTATCAGCGCGCTCAGCTTACAGTCGATTACAATACACCCCCGCGCAGCCGTGCAGCCCCCCCACCCCCACCCCCCCTTTACCGCAGAGTAATCAAACAAAACTTGCCCTGGTGGCTTGTACTCACAAAAGAATACAAGAGACCATGATGTCTGATTAATCCAGCACTTGAGGCTATCGCACTCCCATGAGGAACAGACGGGGGAGAAAAAAATACACCCCCAAATCGCTCTGCGTGCAGCAGCGTAAAAGCAGCGATAACAGCCCGCGCCATAATAGGCCCCGTGATTTTCATTTGACTCCCAGAGAGCAAAATCAGCAGCCGCTGTCCGTCTCCCCGCTGTGAGCAAATCACAGCCTCATTCAGAGCGCCGGCGATGGCAGCGGCCTGGTTCTCCCAGCCTGGTTCCCCCGGCCTGGTTCCTGGGCCTGGTTCCCCGGGCCTGGTTCTCCCGGCCTCGGCCATTTCACTGCTGCTGGTTTGATTTCTGCCCTGTAACTGTTTACTCTCACTGCACCGTGTGCCCCCCACCCCTCACCCCCCCTGAGGGAGATGAAGGAGAGGGGACGAGGGCCACTAGAGGCGGGGGGGAGGAGGAGGTGGGCCGGCTCCAAAGCACCCCAAGTGCTGAGAAGGCAGAGGGAAATTTACCAGCTTGAACACTGTTATTAGCGCGGGGGGGGGGGGGGCCTTTTGGGGGGGTTTTTTTTTTTTTTTTTTACATGGGGGGGGGGAGGTGTGAGGGCGCGCCCCCCCGCCCGGCCTGGGCCGGCATTAGGGGGAATGCGATTATGAACCGGCGCTGTCACAGGGGACGCCTGCTGTTGTGAGGGGAACGCCGCCTTCCGACAGCACGTTTTCCCGAGCCCCCGAACGCTCCAAACAAATGTCCAATCCCGCCGTAATCTCTCCGGAAAAAAGGGACGTCGTTGCGCTATTAATGCCTGGATGTGACAGCAAACAAATGTGTTTCGTCTGGCTGCTGTGGCGTGGAGGCGTGCGATGGAGTGCGCGTGCTGAGGAGGCGGGGGGGGGGGAGGGGGGAGGCAGGGGGAGGGAGGGGGGACACTTGCCTGTCTCTGCTGTGATCCCTCTTTCTTTTTCTTGCCATGTTTGCTGGAGGGGACAAAAGAAAGACAATGTCAGGATGTCGAATCTATCTCTCCCTCCAGTGGTCACAGGGCAGCACTGCCTGCCGGCCATCATAAAGGGGGGGGGGGGGAAGGGTCCTCATCTACCCGCCCTGCCTGCATCTGCCAGGGGGGTGAAGCTCGCAAAGGTGTGAGCCGCTTGAGGGATCCATCATCTATAGGATGACGAGTGGATTATCCACCGTCTTTGCTATTTTTAATCATCTCGTTTAGGTTGATGAGGCACTTTTATCCAGATTCCCTTCAAATGGACGGATCGGTATCTTTCGGCAGCTAAGCCAGCTTGGCCACGCAGGTGTCGGTGCCAGGGATGGGCTCGGGCCTCAGCTCCAGCCCCTGGCAGGGACCCCACGGGCAGAGCGCGGTCAGGGGCCAGGGGCCGGACACTGACCTGACGCTAAGGCTGAAGACGCGGCGCGCCACCAGGAACCTCATCAAGTAATAGATGACCACAATGAGCACCAGCAGGCCCAGCACCACCCCGATAATGGCCCCCGTGATCACACCGGCCTGGATGGGCACTGCAGGGGAAGGAGAAGGCAGACGGGGGGTCAGAGGGGGGAGCAGATGGCCACAATGGAGGGAATTTTGTGGATGAAGAAGGAGGAAGGTGTGGAAAGCAAGAGTAGAGGAGGAGAGAGGGAGGAGAGGGAGCTAAAAGTCAGAGATGGGAATGGGGGCAGAGCTAAAGGCATGGGGGGGGTTATGAAACAAGAAGTCAAAGAGGGTGAACGAAGGATGAGTGCTTAGAAAAAAAGAAGACAGGTAAAAAAAAAAGGCTGGAAATGAGGGAAACATGAAGAGAAGATGAGAGGGGAGGTGGGGGAACAAGTTGAAGCTCGGCAGTGATTTTAATCTTAAAAAAAAGAGCCAGAGACAAAATTACAATTGATTTCATTTAAGGAGGTTGGAGGAATTCGAAATGAGGCTCTTCGACGACTGGTCGGAGCGAAACGCTCCCTCCCAGCCCCACAGCCGGCGTCCAATCGATCCCGGGGCTGTGGATTCATAACGGCTGGGGACTTTTCGCATCACGGGGTGGAACATAAACATTTATTGTGGTTTAAGTGCAGCCGGGGATAAAACCGGACTCTGGGTGGGGTGGGGGGGGGGGCTCACCTTTCTCAAACACCAGCAGGCGCACGCTGGAGGGCCGGCCCACTATGTCGGGGGGGTTCTTGGCGTCGCAGGTGAAGGTGCCGTTGTCGCTGAAGTCCAGGTTCTTGAGCAGGATGGAGCCGTCCCGGCGGCCCGGGTTTCCCACAAACTCCAGCCGGTCCCTGAAGGGGCCCTTGTTGTCCAGGTAAGCCACGCCCCCGGTGTAGTGGAAAATCTGGAGACGGGCGGAGGACACCGGCTGTAAGTTCACCCCAACACCCCCCCCCCACATCGGGACGCCTTCACGTTTACCTTGTAAATATCCCCCACCCCCACGAGGGCTTCACTTTACAAACTTCTGGCTCCGATTTACATTAACGTGACACAAAATCTGGTCATATTCAAAATTGCTCTCATTAGCTGCTGATTTAAAGCCCCGATAATGCGTTTTCCAGCCATCTGGAGGCACCTCAAGCAAGCTGTAAATGCTCAATAACATCAACAAGGCAGTTATGCTGGGAGACACTGATGTGTTTAAAGCATTAGCATTTGATTAGAGCTGCATTTTTCAGACAAAACCGCCTCGCTTTGTACCTACTCCTGATGGAAAACACCGCATTTCAAGTTTCTCAGAGACAGACAAAAGCTGATATGAGAACAAAACCCGACCCCGGTGCCAAGAAGGCCAACTTAACTGTCATGGCTGCCGGCATATTTTTAAAACTGATTTGCAATTTGCTTTAAGAGGAGCTTAAGTGAGGCTGCATGTGGATGCAGTTTCAGGTACTGTACTGGAAGAGCGGAGTTCTGCCGCCATGTGCTCGGACTCCACTGAATTTCTGGAAGATAAATGGTTCTTTCTGCTTTGCCACGTTGGCGTGATGGGGAAGCGTTTGCTGCCGGCCACCTGCGGGTCTCTCCTCGTCTTTGTTCCGTGCGTCTGAGGCCGCGCTGCTGCGTTCGGCTCAGCTTTCTGAGTGTTTTACGCCGCTCAAATCAAACTCAGCAGGTTTTTCTACAAACCTGCTGGATTTTTCGCCGCCTTGTAAAGAGCGGGGCGCGCTTCTCAGTCAGGTCTGACATTTTTGATTAGGCTAAAAATGAAGTCAGAGATAGTCTTTTCTCTCACATCTCACCAAAAAGAAAAGACTGGAAGCAAAGGTTCGAACACTGCAAACAGATTTATGCATCGGCATTTCCTTCTCTCGCCCTCCTCCCCCATTAATCATCTCACAGGCCTTTGGATTTATCTGGTGTCCCTGAATGTATGTAAAGTCATTCAAATCAGCTCAACAGGCCCCAGCATCCCACTTCTACAGCCAGGCATTACAAATAATGGGGAAATGTTGTCGGTTTTGGGGGGGGTGGGATGCCGATACTTTTGTGTTTTAACGTGACACATTTGGACATGGATCTTATTCTACAAAGAAAATTAAATAAAAAAATGAATACGGCGTCCACCTCGACTCGACAAGGTCAGCCCTGCTCTGAGTGCCCATAAATCCTCCTGCTTTGATTGCCGCTCATTGCAGAGGATCTCTCACATGACGCGAACGTGTCAGAAATCAAAAAGGACACTTTGAAAGGACAAACGCGCCACGATAACCGATAGATGCATGGAACTGTAAATCTGCCCAGGCGGGGGAAAGAAACGAGCGACTGAAGATAAGTGAAAAGAAAAAAAAAAAATCAGGCGAGTCTGGTTTCAAAGGGAGGGCACGGCGGGAGACAGATGAAGGCGAGGGAAGCGAGGGGAGGACATAATGGGGGAGAGGAGGGAAGGGACAAAGACGGCAGGGCTGGGGAGGGGCAGTTTAAGGGAGGTGGGCAGAGGGAGGCGCAGTCAGGACGGTGAGATAGAGAGATTAGAGAGATGGCTGTGCGATAAGGGCAGGGAGGGTGAAATTAAAGAGCAGGAGGCTGGTGGGGACGCAGGAGGAGCCCAGATTAGGAGAGAAAGTTCTCTCTCCCGAGGGTTCTTTGTGCGAGATAACGTTAGATGTGCACACAGCCCTGCACTTGTTGGCTTTATTAATAACCTCAACTTTAAGATTTCAAATCCTGAGACAGGCAAGAAAGACGGAGCCTTTGAGGTTAGAGCGAGAGCAAACGAGGTCTCGACTGTCTGTTTAAAGAGCTCCTCTGTTCAGGAAAAATGCCACTCAGAATCACAAAACCTGCTCTTTGAGTCTGGTGGAGGCAAAACGTCTTAGCCGGGGGTTGCGGCTATTGTTTGAATGTCCAGATTAGTGATTGTGATTAAAGGTCAGCCTCCAGTGGGAGGACACAACAAGCCATTCAGATTGGGGCGAACAGGAGAAGATCTGAGGCTGCGCTCCTCTCATGTGCCTCTCTGGGGGTTGTTAGGCTAATACAGTCTTCATTATTTCGAGAATATCTTGCCGCCTTGTTTATTCCGGGCATGCAGAGCCCGGTGGGTTTATCGGAGCCTCTTTACCGAAACAGCTGCAGTTGAAATCAAAGTTGATGAGATTGTAAGGAGGAATCAAACGGCGGAATTTCAGGGTGGGAAAAGCAGCACAATCGTGGGGTTTGATAACGCTTTCCAGAGCTGACACTGCCTTCTACAAACAAGATGCAGCTTTGTGTGTGCGTTTGTGTGTGTGTGTGTGTTGGAGCATTACGGAGATGCTGTCCCGAGAGCCGTCCGGCCGGTACGTCCAGGAGAAGGTGACTTCCTCCGAGGTCCAGCGCCAGGAGAAGAAGGAGCAGGACAGCCGGATGTCGGAGCCCACCAGCGCATGGCGCTCCCAGCCCGTGTAGATCACGATGGCCTGGGACTGCTCGGGCACTGGGGGGCACAGGGGCACGCTTTATCAGTTCCATGTAGCTTTTGCTACACAACACTTGCAGAGCTTATGGTCATTTTCAAACAAATTGTGTGCGCACAACTTTGAAGTGTTGACAAAGAGTACTTTTACACGATCTGAACCTCAGACTGCTGCTCTTTTAGTGTTTTTGAGCTCTTCTGTTATCAGCACAACCTAAGCATTCATAGGAATCTGCGACCTAAACCCCAAATACACTGATATGAGTGAAGATAGATGGTGGGTACCGGTGCATTTAGGGGTGTCCAATCAGCCATTGATTCTCTTACAGACTCTGTAATTACTCTGATTATCGCAGGAACCTGTGTGAGTATCTAAAAGTCAAAGGGGGACATAATTCCCTCCATAAATATGCTCAACGCTTTCCTAATTATGAACACTGTTTATGCTTGAATGATATCAAATGATCAATATTCATTTGGTTTTTGCCACAAAAATCAATGATTTACTTCCATACCAAACACAGTCAGCATGTCAAACGCCTGCTGAAGCTCTGGGGGGGCGCGGGCCCCCCCCCCCCCCAACCCGCCCCAGAGCTTGGGCATTGTTCCCTCCCGCCACGGGTCGCGGTGCCCGTATCGACGCTGAAGCCCCTCATCCGCGTCCGGCTTCCTGCCTCTCCAGCATCTAGCCCCCGCGCAGCCCGCCGATAATATCACGCTTTTGGACGTTTTTAATTAAAACTCTCGACAGGAACAAATAAATAAATAAGGCCGCGAACGTCTGACCGGACGAGGCCGGCGGCTGGAGAGCAGAACTCTTCAGACTGAAGGTCCTACTTGCGCTTTTCAGCCTTTTTTTCGGCGTCTGGACACCTGCTTTGGACGCGGGCTGTAAAAAGCCTGGCCTACATAGGCATATCGCCGGCTCTTTGCATTGAATCGATAGAGCAGCCGCCCTGACGGCAATTAAACGCTCCAGTTTAGTGTTAATCCACTGTAGGGGGGAGGTTTTAATTCCGTAGCAAAGCTTCTAACCCTCTTTATTGTCACCAGGTTCATTAGTTTCCAGGTAAGCTATCAAGAGGAAAGCTCAGAAAAAGGAAGAGAAAACTCCCCCTGGAATCCTCATTTAACCTCTGGATAGCAGCTACACCCTCCCCTTCAGTAGACATCGTCACAACAGAATTCAAAATTAAACAGAGAAAGAGATTTCTTCGGTCTTTTCTTTTTTTTT